GATCCTAAAGACTCTAAATTACCACCCCCCAAAAAAAGATGATTCTTTTAGGCTATGGAAGCAAATCCACAACTGCACTTACTTCCACCACCAAAACTGTCGAAACAAAAACAACTTCCTCATCCTAATATTGTAAGCCATGAAAGCTCTAGCTTTGACTGGATCACCATTCAGATACTCAAATGCGTACATCTGTTTCGCTTCTTCCAATCCATCAATCTCCATCACTGCTTCCAACAGTTCTTCTGTATTGATCAGAGTTTTGCTTTGGTCCACGGCATCAGCTAAGCGACGAATGCTAGAGGCAACCACTAACATTGCTTCTTGAAATGGATCTGATTTTCGAGGTCGTTTAAGAGGTTGCCTTAGAGGATTTGGAGGAAGATCATTAGACTCATCATGCAAGTACTCATCTGCGCCTGTGTATGATTCTGTTCCATCTGTATCGCTACGGTCTTCTGAGCTTGGTAAAGGGAATGAAACAGAGTCTTCTTCAAAGTGTTTAAAGTCGTTTGGATGATGGTTGTTTTCATTCTTCACCTTGTTTAATCGACCTGGAGCTTGATAGTCGCCACATACAATTCTAAGTTCTTCGTACATCTCAATTTGCTTCCCTCTAAATGCTTTTGCATCTGGGTGTACCTGTTCCAACCATTTTTAAGTTATAATGGTGCACAAAGAAAGAAGATTTTGAAGTGAAAGAGCTGGGATTATGGAAATATATATACTTACAGCAATATATCTTTTCCAAAGCTCATCACTTTCGCATTCGATCATTTTTGTGTTTGCGTTCCACCAGAATCCATCTCGGCTAAGTATGTCTTTCATCACTCTGTACCTTTTCTTGATTGTCTTCAGGCGGTTGATGGCTTTTTGGTTATTCAAGTTTAGATTGAAACGAGTGTTAACCGCAATACAAGCGGCAGTGTAAGCGTTCTCGTTGAAGCATTTGTCTATTTTGTTCCCACTTTTAGCCTGGATAGCTAAAGCTTCAATTAGACACTTATCCATTCCAATGGACCATACAACATTTCTCCCTTTATGCTTCATCTCTCTTCTCTGTACTGGCAAGCCATATTGATCCATTCCTGATTCATTTATGCAAAAACCATGGAATATATAGCACAATATGTCAGAAAGTGATTGCACATATCATCACAAGAGAAGCCAATGAAACGTTATCAAGACCAAGGGCAAGATTACAATTCTATGCATAAATCATTATACCATAACATCACGAAAGAAAAGGCTTGGTTGTTCACACACACAATTTGATAGGACGAATCTGGTCCCAAAGTGACATGATAAATCAATCTAATCATACAGCATTTACATGAACTATGATCAACGGGCAACAACATGGTTCACAGATTTCACACTTAAACAATCAAATTTGTCAAAATAACACATCACCAGAGTGATCATGGAAGCACATACAATGGAGCTGTGGTCACAGGAATGACTACATACTCTTTTGAAAAAGAGACAGATTGTTCCACCTATAAAGAAATAGATCATGGTCACATAAAGTGTTTACTGGACACTAAACTCACTCATGGACAGTAAATTTCTTTACATCTATACCAACAAGGATGGGGTTAGTGACTCACTACACACATAATTCTATAGTCTTCATATAAATCTTCTTCTTCTTCATTCTCCACTAATATGATTTTCCTCCAAGGCATGAACAATCATCTACATACTACTTAAGTTCACCTTAAACGGAGACAATCTCTGGTAAGCTTAAGTTCAACTTTCTACAAATCAGACTCGTGAACTAAGCTAAACTCGTGACAAGTAGCAACTTTAAGTTCATCAAGTTAGTCTCCTTAGATAGTTAGAGGGAGAAATTTAAGGGTTATACAAGATTGAAACATATAACCTACCTCAAGCTAGTTACTGTAGAAATCAGAAAGCTTTAAGCTAAATAAGCAAAGAACACGAATCTAAACTCGTCTCTTTTCCAGAAATGAGAAAAGAGCTCTAATAATAAAAACCCATGAAAGGTCTTAGTAGAAAACCCTAGTGTTACGAAATGAACCAAATGAACAAAAAAAAAAAAAAACACAGTTCGATGAACTCGAAAGAAATCAAATGTCGCATACCTTCCCGAAGATTGATTGTGTGATTAAATCAAGTCAGATCGTCGATGAACGGAGGATTCAAAAGTGAAGGAAGCGCAAGTGCGACATTTCTGAGAAGGAGAAGAAGCTCGATTAGGGTTTTTTATTTTATTTTTTGATTGTGAAAAAAAAAGAAAGGAATTAAGTGAATTTTCTCGAACCCACCTGAGTACTTGTTTTCTCGAAAAACAAAGTCGTCGACGAAATTTCCCCATTATCGATTTCACAATACGGTAGCGTTTTATTGGACCCAGAATCGTTGAACTGATATTTTCTTGCCTTTTCCCGGAAAATTTCTCTGAAGCTTTTTCTTTGTTTTATTTTATTTTTCTCCGTCTCGGTCCACGTGTCATCATGTGTGCACACTGAAACTCCCCGGGTCAGACCCGAAACTAGCTACTTAATGGGCCAATTTTGATTGTAACTAGAAGGCCCACATATCCAAGACTCTTAAAGGCCCGGTTTAATGGGCCGGACCCGTTTCTTCTCTAAACGTAAACCCTAGCTTCTTCCACTGTCTCTTGATATATAGCCGCCTGCAACTCTTTCTCTCTCAATGATTTCAATTAAGCGATAATTCAGTTAAAGTTGCTTTGATACTTAGTTCCTCATGTTTCGATTCTTTCTTCTTTTGTTTTGTTTCTCGCTTTGATTTGATTCGATTCGATTTAATGGTTTTCAATTTTGTTTACTTTTCTCTTGCTATCACTTTGGTTTTTTTTGGGTTTAATTAGGGTTTCATAGTGAAGGCAGTGATGATGAAAATCTACCTATTTTATGAGTAAACTCTGATTAGAAATTTTACCAATGGATCCTTCTGAGCCTTCACTTCAATTTTCTATTTATCCTTGTATGTGTTTTTCCACAATTCAGTTTTCTCGGGACAAATTTTCTTATTTTTTTGGTTTCTTCGAGTTTGATGAGGAAGAGAGCCAATGGAATGATGATTAAACTTTATCGGAAATATTAATTTATTGTGCCGACCAAAACTCAGACTACAATTATCTGATCATTTGGCACTC